ATATTGGGTGTAGCTAGAATGAGTCTGAGGGATTATCTTGTACAAAGCATAGCCATTGAATAAAAGTTTTGGCTAGGGTTTCTCACAATAAGAACCCCATCATTATTTAAAAAATTTACAGCGAAAAAAAACCCAAATATTTGAGACAAAAAAGCGAACCTTTCTACCAGCAATCTTGCAAGAACGCCGCCCCATACAAACAGGAAACGTCGTGGATATCCTCCTAACTCTCTGACGACGGCCGAACTCCATCGCAATTAAAGAAGACGAAATCCTACCCAAAAATCCAATCCCTAATCCCAAAAAAAAGGGTACTGAGACCTAACAGTGACAAAAAACTTAACAATCAACAAGAGATTCGATGAGATTGAGCAGAACCGCACTCTGAAGAGCAGAAGAATCGTGGAGGGAGACGAAGGAAGAAATAAGAGCATTTGGGATCGGAACTTTGTGGCGGATTGCTCCGAAAACTCTCGCAGCAGAGGCCATTGCCGTCGGCATTTGGACGCCGGTGAGGTGTTCGTCAAAATGCTCAAATGAGGAGAGGCGTTAACTTCAGCGGGCAACGAGGCCGTCGCTCCTCGAAGCTGGATATCGAAAGATCTACTACAAGAATAAAGCAGGTCGGGTCCGATCTCGCTTGACGCGAATCTTGGCGTGCGTTTTCCTTTGGGTTAGTTTCACAAAACCCCCCCTGAATCTAGGGGCGCGTTGCACATAACCCCCTGAACTTTGTTTATCTCACATCACCTCCGAGCTAGGGGGTGTCTCACAAAACCACCTAAACTTAAGCTTATCTCACCTAACCCTCTAGTCTGTAATTTGCAAATAAGTAAAACGTATTTGAGTGAAAACTTCCCAAACTTTATTACATGTCATTTACAATGAACATGCTTCTTCCCCTAAAGTTTGAGTTTTTTACTCTAATTTTTTTTAATTATTGCAAATTACAACCAGGGGTTAGATGAGATAAGCTAAAGTTTAGGAGGGTTTTGTGAGACACCCAATACTTTAGGGGTTTATGTGAAATAAACAAAATTCAGAGGGGTTTTGTGCAACAATCCGTAAAGTTCGGGGGCTTTTGTGAATTTATCCTTTTTTTTTTACTAAAGGCTTAATTGCACTTAAACACCCTATAGTTTCCCCTGCTTCTCATTTATACACTTTCACACTTTCAGTTGTTTTTGGTAGCAGTTACACATCCTTCTAATCTTTTTTATGGTTTGCATTTTTATATCTTTAGTTACACAAAAGTGGGAATTTTCCCTGAAAACTCTCATGCATGCACACTCAAATGCTAATTTAGAATATTTTTAACTCTTAATATTTTCTTTCTTGGTGTAAGATTTTTCTTTATTTGTTTATCTTATATTTTTTCTTTTTTTCATTTATACTTCAGTGAAATTAGTAGATTTACATCATATAAATTTGTAAGGATGAAGGAAAAGATATGTATATTAAAACAAGTAAGGTCTCTCGAAAATCACTTCACCTTATGCAAGCAAACAGTGATAAGCCTCACCACTGTTCACATTGATAATTTTTTGAAGTCATAAATTTCTAAATATTTTGAACGTGGCATGCTTAATCATGCTGATTGCTCTCCATATTTCTTCCTTGCATGTTACGCGAATTTATATCTTCTACAATTAGGTGATAGGTTGAGACTCTTTAATTCCTCCGATCATTGTTGTACATTCAAAATTCAATGGACGTTCCGAATTACATGGACGAGATTAGACCATGTTGTTGGCCTTCTTGTTTTGATGATGTTTAACAAACAATTTACAACTAATGTTGTTTGTCTAGTGCTTGTGTTATCTATTTATTGTAGACAAACAACGTAGTTGGATGGATTGAGCCTACACGATCATATCAAGAGGAGGTTGGCGGAATGTCGGTGAAGCTTATACAATTCAAGTTAAAGATCAAGTTCAAGCTTCATCCGCAACGTGTACCAAGTTGAGCTACAATGAAGATCAAGATCAAGCTTGGGTATACTTAGTATAGGTTTATATTATGTGTGTTAAGTACGTTAAGCTCAATTATCTATACACACACATTTATTGGTTTTTTTGTATATATATGTAGTCACATATATATACAACACAAGTTTTAGTTTTCATGTTTATAAATATGAAATTACATGTTTCATATTTATTATTGTGATTTGGTTTATCTACATAGATATGAAACAAATATATTTTCATATACATACTCATAGGTTTCATTTTCTATTGTATTTGTGAAAATATTGTATTCTTAGTTTATAGACTTCAATATCAGTTTATACATGTTTTACTAAGTCTACAAAAACATTTCACAAAGTTTCAAAAGTTTATATATATATATATAAGTTTTGTTTTCTATGTATATATATAGTTATATATATACATGCATGGTTTTGGGTTTTCATGTTTATAATATGAAATCACATATTTCATATTTACTATTGTGTTTTTGAAAACATTGCATAGAATATGCAATTTTGTGAAAATTCTTTATTCTTAGTTTTTAGACTTATGAAAAATCAAATACATGTTTTATTAAGTCTATATAATCATTGTGCAAAGTTTCAAAACATGGCTTAGTCAAAATATCAAAATTCACATGTTTACATTTTCGTGTTTTGGACTATTTTGCAAAATAATGATTTTTTACAAATGGGAAATGCAATTTGGAAAATTCTTTTTGTAACATGTTTGTTTTCATGTTTATATACATTTCCCAAAGTTTCATAATTTTTGGACTTCATTTGTTATTTTTAACAATTTTCCAAAGTCTCAAAAATTAGTTTTTAAAAACCTGTAAGTTTCTGTTATGTCAGTTTTCGGTCGACCGCACCGGTCGACCGATCATTTGATCTTTCATCACTGGGCGACAGAGAGTTGGTCGATCGACCGGTCCAGTCGACCTAAAGCTCCATCGGTCGACCGCACGAAGCTTCCTCCTGCCGATTCTCAGTTTGGGCATTCGCATCGCGCGTCGGCACCGCGAATTTTTTCGGCTCGACCGCTCCTCCTTCAATTCTCAGTTTCCAGCGGCTAGTTTTGCTTATCGTTGTGGCGGCGATTGTTTTTGTCTTTTGTTAGGGGTTTTGACTGAGATTTAGAGAGGGTATAAATACCCTATTGCTGTTCTTTTTCAACTAAGCTAAGAATTTTTTAAACAAGGTGTTTAAACAAGGGTTTAGGGTTTTACTGTTTGTTTAAGTTTGGGTTTCTGTTTACAAAGGAGGAAGTTTTCACTGCAGATTGAGGGATTCATTCTCTCTTCATCCTCTTCTTTGTGTTCTTAGAGAAATTTTCTAACTCTTTTCTCTAGCAATTTCATTATTGATTTTCATATTCTTATTATTGCTAGTTTGCTATTTGAGTTAGATTTTATTTTACTCATTGTTACACACACCCACATTGAGCTTTTAGTATTTACATACATAGTATAGTTGGGTGGTGAGAGATTGTAACTTTGAGTTGTGCTTTCATTGTGTTCTCATCCATAGTTGAGAACAATCATTTGTTATATTATGCTTATTGTGAGATTCACTTTGTAATACACTTGTACACCGAGTGAGGAGTGTGTGGTGAGAGTCGGGGATCGTCCCAAGAGGAGTGGCATCGGTTGACGAGCCTAGGGAGAGGTTGTAACCGAGCACTTGAGGGAGACACGGCTAGGTCCAACACTTAGTGCGTGTAAAGTGGGATTACAATAGTGTGTTGATTGTAAAGTTTTCGGTTAGCTAGAAAACCGAGTGTGAGGTGTAAACGTTATTCGGGTGAACGTAGAAAACCCGGTTGATAGTGGATTTCTCCCCGGGAGTGGGGAGCGGAGACGTAGGACGGAAGGTCCGAACTCCGTGATTACTTGATTGTGTTTGAGTGTGCTTTGGTGTTCACTTTTATTTATGTTCATATCTTATATCACCATTGTGCATTGCTCATTACTATATCATCCACTATCTTGTTATATCTCATTATTAGGATATATCTTATTGTTCATATTGCTTATCCTAGCTCATATATCTTGTTGTAGTTCATACTTGCTAGGATAACTTATTAATTAGTTTTAATTGGCATTTAATCGTATTAGATTAGCATAAGACCCTAATCACCCCCCTCTAGGGTCTAACACACGCAAAATTCCACTACCGTGATAGTGTTTTTTTTTAAATAGTAGTTTTTAAAAAATAGTGACTTTCAAGACCGTAATGGTTTTATCTCATTGTCTAATCTTGTTCATTGTATTACAAATGCATGGCAACAGATTGGATGAATTGAAAGACTATCCGATTACCACGTTTTACGTGAAGAGGAACTATTTGAAGCTGCATATTAGAACTCAAAACTAGTTTCAGGCCCGTGCGATGCACGGATTTATTTAATATACAAAAAATAATATAGCAAAAAAATACAAACAGTTCAAACAGTTTACGAAGCGTTCAAACAGTTTACGAAGCATCTTGTTTGGAAAATTGAAAAGGCAGGGAGAGTTAGTTCAAATCTCAAGGAGAACTTTTTATTTTTTATTTTTTATTTCAAATTTAATATGGAGAACTTTTGTGGAAACTTGACAAGTGGCACTTGCAAGAAGATAGTAATTGATATGTTTGCCAAGTGTTGTTTAAAATGGTATGGGCCATTTTTGCCAAGTGTTATTTTTGACAAGTGGCGAATTAAAAGGTAACAACTTTTAGTAATAGTATATATATGGCAACGGATTGGATGAATTGAAAGACTATCCAATTACCACGTAAATGAAGAGGAATTATTTGAAGCTGCATATTAGAACTCAAAATAGGAAGGGATAACTAATTTTTATTTATATTTTTTCCCGCAAGGAAAAATATCATAACCAATTTTTCTAAAATATTATAATTCACCTGCCGAAAACTTTTCCCACTCCCCAATCTCAACCGACCATCCACATCGATCTCCACGTGTCATTCGCAAACAAATCCAGCTCAACTCAAACCGTCCATCTCCATCATCGTCCCCGAAGAACCGCCTAGAACTCTCCAGTTCTCTCTCGCTCCTTCTCGAGTCTCTACCCTCCAGAGTCCAATCAATATCGATCCTTCTCTACCCCTCGCTTAATAAACCCCCCCACCCCCCCTCAGATTTCCCAGGCTCTCACTGCCCCCAAAAATTTCATCAGAGCCCAGCAGACATCTTTGTAAAATTCCATCAAACACCTCGCTCTCAGTCGACAATTTCCATCATGAATCCCGACAAATTCACCCACAAGACCAACGAAGCGATCGCCGCCGCCCACGAGCTCGCACTAAGCAACGGCCACGTCCAGTTCACCCCTCTTCATCTCGCGATCGCCCTGATCTCCGACGCCGGTGGCCTCCTCAGGCAATCGATCCTCAACGCCGCTGGCAATGGCGAAATGGTGACGCCTCCGCCGTCGAATCCTTCGAGCGCGTCCTCAGAAGCTCCCTCCGCAAGATTCCGTCGCAATCTCCGCCCCCCGATGAGATTCCGGCGTCGACCTCGTTGGTCAAGGTCATTCGTCGGGCTCAGTCGTCTCAGAAGTCACGGGGTGACACCCATCTCGCTGTTGACCAGCTTATTCTTGGACTTCTCGAGGATTCTCAGATTGGGGATTGCCTCAAGGAGGCTGGTATTAGCGTGTCAAGAGTTCGATCCGAGGTCGAGAAGCTTCGCGGTAAAGAAGGGAAGAAGATTGAGTCGGCCTCCGGCGACACGAATTTCCAAGCATTGAAAACTTACGGGAGAGATCTCGTCGAACAAGCAGGAAAGCTCGACCCGGTCATCGGCCGAGACGAGGAGATTCGGCGAGTAATCAGAATCCTCTCTCGTCGAACGAAGAACAACCCTGTCCTCATTGGCGAACCTGGTGTTGGTAAAACCGCAGTTGTTGAAGGCCTTGCACAAAGAATCGTGCGAGGCGATGTGCCCAGCAATCTCGCTGACGTTCGTCTTATTGCCCTCGACATGGGAGCTCTCGTCGCGGGTGCGAAATACCGAGGAGAGTTTGAAGAGAGGCTGAAATCGGTGCTCAAAGAAGTCGAGGATGCAGAGGGGAAAGTGATTCTGTTCATTGATGAGATACATTTAGTTCTCGGAGCAGGGAGGACCGAAGGGTCGATGGACGCTGCGAATTTGTTTAAGCCGATGCTTGCTAGAGGGCAATTGAGGTGCATCGGGGCGACCACGCTGGAGGAGTACAGGAAATATGTGGAGAAAGATGCAGCTTTTGAGAGGAGATTTCAGCAGGTTTATGTTGCAGAGCCGAGTGTTGCGGACACGATTAGTATATTGAGAGGGTTGAAGGAGAAGTATGAAGGGCATCATGGTGTTAGGATTCAGGATCGGGCTCTTGTCGTTGCTGCTCAGCTCTCTAGCCGATATATCACTGGTAAGTTTCATCAACCTTGGATTTAATTGTTTATTTGCATAGAGTTTTATATATTGTGAGCTTGTTATATATAGTAATATAATATGATTTAGCTTAGTGCCACGGTGCAATTGGGATTAATCATTAGATGACTGGTTTGCCCGTAGGCTAATGTTTCATATTGGACTATTAGTGTCATTGGTGATCTTAGGAATTTTTGAGTCTTGATTCTGGTATTCTGGACTTAATTGGTTTTAGGACGGAATGTTGTTTATGGATGTGGATATAATATGAATTTGTGTCACTATCTAATTGGGGATTAAGCATTAGATATTTTAAAATTGGATAATAGCTGTCAATATCTCGATCTCTTCTATTTTTTTCTACTTGTATGAGCGGTGACCGGCTCAGCCTAGTATTTTTAATGATCTTGTGAAAGCTACGGTTTTTAGTTCCTTGTCTGTGATAGTTATCATTGTAATTTCTTAACAACATGACTCATGCAATTCCGAAATCATTTGTGATTTAATCCTGCCTTAAAGTGTGGGCATCTGAGAATATCTGGCTATGAATTTTAGCAATATGCTTGCTTCTTCAATATATTACTCAGATTCAACATGATGTTACCTGTGGATTATTAATGTTTAATTGCTCCTAGTGTTAGAAAGCCTTGAAACCTATTTTGATATAATCGATTTGTCCAAATTTTGGTGGGTGTTGTTCGTGAGGCTTAGCCACTGTATTATTCGTAAACCAACTATTCGCTCTAAGTCTTAAGGGTCTGAACTCTAGGGCTATTAGTAGACAGGATAATGTTGTTACAGGTCACATACTGTAGGATTTTTTTGGTCTGAACAGATGAACATATTACTGATACGATTAATGTTCTCTTGTTTTCTTATTGAAGGGCGCCATTTGCCCGACAAGGCAATTGACTTGGTTGATGAAGCTTGTGCAAACGTTAGAGTACAGCTTGATAGCCAACCGGAAGAAATTGATAATTTGGAGAGGAAAAGGATTCAGTTAGAGGTCGAGTTGCACGCACTGGAGAAAGAAAAAGATAAGTCAAGCAAAGCTCGGTTAGCGGAGGTTAAGAAAGAACTCGATGACTTGAGGGATAAGCTTCAGCCCCTAACAATGAAGTATCGGAAGGAAAAGGAAAGAATTGATGAAATAAGGAAATTGAAGCAGCGGCGTGAGGATATGATGTTTAGTCTACAAGAAGCAGAGCGGAGAATGGACTTGGCTCGTGTTGCAGATCTTAAGTATGGGGCTCTTCAGGAGATTGAGTCGGCAATTGCAAAGCTTGAAGGGGAGACTGGTGACAACTTAATGTTAACCGAGACTGTTGGTCCTGAACAAATAGCAGAAGTATGTGCTCAATTCTACTAGATCAAACAAGATGCTATATTTTATATTTGATAGATTCGGTGACTTAATTATTTTTTTCCCCAGGTTGTTAGCAGATGGACAGGAATTCCAGTGACTAGGCTTGGCCAGAATGAGAAAGAGAGGCTTATTGGCCTCGCTGAGAGGCTACACAAGAGGGTAGTCGGTCAGGATCAAGCAGTCGATGCTGTGGCTGAGGCTGTTCTGAGGTCGAGAGCTGGTCTTGGAAGGCCCCAGCAACCGACTGGGTCATTCTTGTTTCTGGGTCCCACTGGTGTTGGCAAAACTGAGCTCGCTAAAGCCCTAGCAGAGCAACTTTTTGATGATGAGAACCTCTTAGTTCGTATAGATATGTCAGAGTACATGGAGCAGCATTCTGTTTCTAGGCTCATTGGTGCTCCACCAGGGTAAGTTACATTCCCGCATCTCTTGCCATCAGTTTCTATTGGTTCAATTCTTGTTTGCTAATCAACTATATGTCTTTGAATAGGTATGTTGGACATGAAGAAGGTGGGCAATTGACAGAAGCGGTGAGGAGAAGGCCTTACAGTGTTGTGCTATTTGATGAAGTGGAGAAGGCCCATGTTGCTGTGTTCAATACTCTACTCCAAGTTCTTGATGATGGAAGACTCACCGATGGCCAAGGAAGGACTGTGGACTTCACTAACACTGTGATTATCATGACTTCAAATCTTGGAGCCGAGCATCTTCTTGCGGGGATGGTGGGCAAGTCCTCAATGCAAATTGCAAGAGATCGAGTTATGCAAGAGGTAAGATAATAGTGTAAATCCCGCATGTTTTCTAACAAATAAGTATTATACGCTCGAATATTAACTGGCCTTTAATTGGGTATCTCAGGTGAGACGGCATTTTAGGCCTGAGCTACTCAACAGACTGGATGAGGTAGTTATCTTCGACCCTCTCTCGCACGAGCAACTGAGGAAAGTTGCCAGGCTTCAGATGAAGGATGTGGCCGTTCGCCTTGCAGAGAGGGGAGTCGCTTTGGCTGTGTCAGATGCTGCTCTGGATGTTGTACTAACCGAATCTTATGACCCAGTAAGTACATACTCTCCACGAATGTCCTTTAGCCTGTGTGACTTTTCACGAAAGAGATTGCTTACCTGCTGCCTTGTGTTGTAGGTTTATGGTGCAAGGCCAATTAGGAGGTGGCTAGAGAAGAGGGTGGTGACCCAGCTCTCCAAGATGCTGATAAGGGAAGAGATAGATGAGAACTCCACTGTTTATATCGATGCAATGGTTGGAAAGAAAGAGTTGTCGTATAGAGTGGAGAAGAATGGAGGTCTGGTGAATGCTGCCACTGGCCAGAAATCAGATATTTTGATTGAGATCCCTGCTGGAGTGAGGAGCGATGCTGCTCAATCTGTGAAGAAGATGAAGATTGCCGCAGATGAGGATGAAGACGAGGTGATGGACGAAGAGTAGGGGTCTCCTGTTGGTTGGTTTCTGTGGTTTCTACTTTGGTTGTACACTGAGTTATCTAGAATAAACGTTCAGACGGTGGAATAGAATGTGATTAGGTGCTTGTGTCTTCGTAGGTGCACCAACTGGTGCGTTCCTGTTCTGTCGATATTAATTATTAGAAGTTTTTGTTAGGGTCCGCCTCTTGGTTCAATTGTGAGTATTTTCCTGTGATGGGGCGGTTGTTCAGAGAAGCCTCTTTTCTGTTCCTTAGTTGTTGTTGCTGTCGTCTCTCTCTCTCTCTCTCTCTCTCTCTCTCTCTCTCTTTTCTGGCTGGAGTTCGTTTTCAGTGTGGTTCTAATCTTTTTTGATGTAAAGCCTTTTCTTGATCTCCGCTTCTGTTTGGTTATTGTGTTTCACCTATTTATATCTTGTTGTTGTGGTTGGATCACCTCATTTTGAAATATTTTCAAAATATGTTTCACGACAAGTCTAATGTCTTGTTTGGATTGAGGGGAATGAGGGTGAAGGGAAGTTAGGGGAACCATTCACCTCCATTCACCTTGTTTGGGAACACTTAGTAGGTGAAGTTAATTCACCTCCATTCACCTTGGTTCACCCCCTAATAGTATAAAAATTGTTACCCCCAAATTGGGGTGTAACCAAGGGGAAGTGAATTCCCTTCCCTTCCCTTCCCTTCCCTTTACTCAGTTTCCCTTAACTTCCCTTCACCCCCTACGAATCCAAACAGGCCCTAAAAGATTGCTGGACTTTTGCCCTATGTTCTCTTTTTATTTGAACAGTTCGACCCTGTGTTTCCTTTTTTTTTTTTTTTTGATAAGCGGGCGGGCATGTACTAGCTGAGCAAGCAATTTACTATCTCACTCTAATACCATTATAATTTTCATTTTCATAAAATAATATACCGACTAATCTTTTCTAATTACAGTAGTAATAGCAACAATAACACATGGACGCTTTCATTTAATATATACCAAACAATCTCTTCTAATTACAGTAGTAGTAACAACGACGATAATTAATAATTAGAGTGCTAATTTGTAAGTTAGCATTATTAATTAATAGGATAATAAAGGGGTACATTTGCATCGCCGTGGCTCCAGGTAGTACATGGTGGTCACCGGCGTCCCAGACGGAACTGTCATGCGCACCGCACAGCATGAGTGCACCGGCCACGTTTTCCCGTGCACGTCCTCGATGGTAGAGGTGACGAGCTCACGTTCACCTGCAGCCCCAGGATTCAAATGGAGAAGCCTTTATTGTGATACGAGTTGGATCAAGTTCTGAAATTAAGTTATTTGCCATTGTTTTTCGTTAGTATTTCTCCCAATGCATTTATATTCTAAGGATGCATCTAGAGTTTATAAGTGGTGAACGCTAAGAAATATTTTATTATTATTTAATGGTACAGTAGTTTTTGGGAGGTTATCTATAGGTGATATTTTGGTACGTGTACACCGTGGAAGTTAGGTCGTTACGGTGTCACTATAGTACTTGTTGGTGGCATAGTAGGTGGCTGCTGACCTTAACAATCCTCCTCAACAGCAACTTTTCCATTCATGAGTTCGAGCGAAATTCTAAAATTTTCTTGAATGCTTAGATTTTTTTTCTTTCACTGTTTCCATTTCTCATTTCTGAATGGTTTTTTCATGTCTTCTTACAGCAAAATTGGAATACGTGTGATTTGGCTTCCTAGGTTTGGTTGATCTTCAAACCTGTCCTGTTTGTACTTAACCGATATCTTCTATCTGATTCGAGCGTTCCTCTTCTGATGTTATCTGATGAACACCAGTCTTTCATGGATTTTTTTTCCTTCGAAGATGTAGGAGAACTAGGTTATGTCTGTGAACGTGACCGCATTGAACGAAGTGAGCGAAACAATTGTCAGGCCCAGGCCCACCCGATTATTCAGTTGCTCACTTATATAAATAACAATGAGATTTTTTCCCTAGGTTTTGGTGTGCATAGAGGGTTTGGGTTGCGGCTACAGAGAAAGGTGCAGGAGATTGATTGTGGCTGCGGGTAATTTTTTCGGCAGAAAAATCGCAGCAGCAGAGGCCCCTTTTATTGAGGATTTTGAGCATCCTTTTGTAGAGAGATATTGTGAGGGATCTGAGAGTTTGTTTGAGGATTTAGATTGAGAGTGATTGTAAACCCTAGTTGTATTCTCTCCCTCTATTAGTAGATCTCCCCCCTCCTTGCCCCGTGGACGTAGACAATTTGCCGAACCACGTAAAATTGGTTGTCTCGCTATTTGTATGATTTGTAATAGCTTTTAGGTTCCCTCGACGCGCAGTCCTAGAGCTGACGAGAGGAAGAGCTAATATCCCACTTTGATGGGATATTAGGCTTCAGATTCTTGTTCCCTTTGAGAAACAAGAATTCTTATTGCGACCTAACTCTTGTTGTGATGCGCAACAAGTGGTATCAGAGCCCAGATTTCAGATCTAGGGTTTTGGAGTTTGGTGGAGGAAGATTCTTGTGTGAAGCTTAGTTCTTGGAGTTCTCGGCTTCGGTGGAGATAGCATTAGGAGTTACCGTTGGAGATTTCGCTTTCCTCGTGTGGATAGGAGATCTATTTGGAATCCGATCTAGGGTTCAGTTAGGTGGTTTCTAATTCTATCAAATTTGTTCTTTCTCTACAATTTAGAGTTAGTTTGCACTGGGAGAAGAAGGTGAAAGCAGCAAATCGATGGCGGGTACAATACAAGTTGGTTTTCAGAACACTAAAATTAGTGTGGTGAAGTATGACGGTAAAATCAACTTTGGTTTGTGGATGAGCGACGTACAGGATGCGCTCAATGCTCAGAATTTGGAAGAGACCATTATGATCCACGAAAGACCACCTAAATATGAAGAGGCGGTATGGGAGAAAATGAATAGGAACGCTTGTGGGGTGATCAGGTACTGTTTGGAACATGAGCTGAAATATGATGTGATTGTGGTGACGTCTGCAATGAAGATGTGGGAAATTCTCAACAACAAGTATCTCACAAAGAGTGTTGAGAACATGTTGCACTTGCTGCGAAGACTCTTCAGATTTCAGATGTCCAGAGGCACCTCGCTAGCGGTTCATGTGAACAACTACACTAAGTTGTTGTCGGACTTGGCGAATGTTGATGAGAAGATATCGGATGAGTACAAGGCGATTATTTTGTTGGGCTCCTTACCGGATGAGGAGTATGATATCTTCGTGCTCACTTTGTTGAATGGGAGATCTTCTATCATCTATAGTGAAGTGACTAACGCATTGACCAATTACGATTTGAGGAGGAAGGATAAGGAGACTTCCCGCGCTAGTACTTCAGGCGAGGCCTTGTCGACGAGAGGTAGAAGCCCATATCCGAAAGGTGGTAATAGAGGAAGGTCAAAGTCTAGAGGCCGCCACCAATTAGCAAAGAACCAATGTGCATTCTGCAAGGAGCAGGGACATTGGAAGAGAGACTGCCCGAAGCTCAAGGAGAAAGAGAATGGCAAGAAAAAGGGCCCGAAGGCCAATGAGGTGAATATTGCGAAAGGCGATGATTCCGATGATTCGTGCTTTTCTCTACTGATTACTCCGGAGGTGAACCATGTGGATGCATCAGATTGGATGCTTGATTCCGGCGCTACCTTTCATGTGACCCCTAGGCGAGACTGGTTTGCATCTTTTGAGAAAGTCGACGGGGGCGTTGTTGTCATGGGAAATGATCAATCCTGTAGCGTTTGTGGGATAGGTACCGTGCGGATTAGGATGCACGATGGAGTAGTCCGTGAGTTGAAGGAGGTGAGATTTGTTCCTCAACTGAAGAAAAATCTTATCTCAGTTGGAGCTTTGGAGGCGAAGGGATTCAAGGTGACTTTCGAAAACGCTGTAGCGAAGGTTACTAAGGGATCATTGGTGGTGATGAGGGGAGTCCGCAATCGGAATTTGTATTATCTGAAGGGAAGCACCGAGATTGGCCAGGTTGCTTCGGCTATTTCAGAAGCGGACATGAGCAGACTTTGGCACTATAGATTGGGGCACACAGGTGAAAAGTCACTGCAGGCATTGTGCAAGCAGGGGCTATTGAAGGGAGCCAAGAGTGGGAAGATTGAGTTCTGTGAGCACTGTGTTCTTGGCAAGAAGACGAATGTGAAGTTCGGGACTGCCATTCATCAGACGAGAGGCATCCTGGACTACGTGCACACAGATGTTTGGGGTCCCATCAAGACTGCATCACTTGGTGGTAGACATTGGTTCGTTACTTTTGTAGATGACTATTCTAGGCGTTGTTGGGTGTACACCATGACGAAGAAGAGTGAATTCCTAGATTTGTTTGTGGGGTGGAAGAAGAGATTGGAACTGCAGACTGGGAGAAAGATCAAGACGTTGCGATCCGACAACGGTGGTGAGTATACTTCTGACCCCTTTCAGCAGCTATGTCGAGACGAGGGCATAGAGAGATACTTCACAGTTAGTCATACACCGCAGCAAAATGGGGTGGCAGAGAGGTTGAATCGCTCTTTACTGGAGAAGATCCGATGCTTATTGTCGCAGAGTGGTTTGGAGAAGATCTTTTGGACTGAGGCACTTACGTATGCGAGCCACCTCATTAATAGGCTGCCTTCATCTGTGATTGAGGGAAAAACCCCTATGAAGATGTGGTCGGGAAAGCCAGCACATGACTATGACCAGCTCAAGGTATTTGGGTGTCCTGCATATTATCATGTTAGAACTGATAAATTAGAACCTCGAGCTAGGAATGCCATATTTGTAGGATTCAAGCGTGGTGTCAAGGGATACAAGCTTTGGGATCCAGTGGATAAGAAGATTGTGCTGAGTAAGGATGTCACATTCGATGAAGTTTCTATCTTGAAGCTTCCCAGCTCTCATCAGGTGGAGAGCGACCCGACAGAGGAGATATCGCAGGTGGTGGAGATCGATGCAGCTCCACATTGTCCAGATAGTACAGTATCCATGCAGGTGTCGACTGAGGTGACGCCAGGCGAGCACGACGGTGACACGGAGGATACGGGTACAA